TCACTTATTCATTCTTTTATTGTTGACAACTTTAACTTTACTAACCTATGCTAACAAAATTACTTTCACAAATTACAGGCAACATACTTATGACACTGTTGATGAAAATTATGATAGGGGTTTTACAAATTGCAGACAGACAAGTCTCCATCTAGGGATTAATTTTAAAAATATTTTTATGCCATTGTTGCAGCATTAACTGTGAATAATTTTACACTTATTGCACTAAAAACCCCAAAATTCAGTTTTTTCGACTTATGACACTGTTGTCGCCCATGTGCGATATGTGTCTGAGGAATTCTCCCAAAACATCAAACGTCTTGGCAAATCTACATACTCGCTAAATCATGATAAAATACCTACTAATAACAACAAATTTCATTTCCAGTAATATAATCACTGAAATATTGAAAAAATTATGTATACACCAATTATTTTATCCACTTTTTTTCTACTTTTTTGTTTTGATTGTTTGGTAGTGTTTTTTCTGCGTTTGCAGACGTTGACGATGGGAGATAATCTTCGCTATCATATTTATCACATTCTACCAAAAACTCTTTTAAATTCTTCAGTGTTTTTGCTTTAACCCGTAGTTGACAGCCGTATCTTCAGGGCCAGAGTATTTATGTGTATTCTTAATGTTTGCGTTATCAGGTGAAGAAATAACAATATATCTGGCAGTTCAGCTTCCTACAAATACTCCAGCTCTTGTATCTTGTTATCAACGTTATTTTACTGCTCGACAAATTCGCTAGGGATCAATTCATGAAGTTTTAGGGATTTCTTTTAATAATTAATAGATTAATAAAATATTTGGACCATTTGTATTTTTTACCATGTGTGTACAAATAATTAATTTTAAAATATAAATAAATAATTCGCACCTATCTCTATGCAATTGAATGGACGGGGCATTATCTGGGTTAATAACTATTTTTTTAGTTTTTATTTTTGGAACGTAAATATATTTAGAATTGCTTTTGATTTATTTATATAAATACATAGTCCACATTATAAAATTATCAAAATATATATTTAGAATATGCAGAATAATTTTAGAAGAAATAAATTTTAATTTATTTCTTCTGAAATTATAGTTTGTAAAATAATATGTTTTACCTCTTGTGCCAACATTCCTATGCTTTTTATTTCGTTTAATATAATATCCTTAATTATGCTCAATAAAAAAATCAGCAAAAATACATTTTTAATTTACTAAATTATCGAATAAAAACCCTCAGGGATACGACGTGTTCCTTTTAATCAATTAACTTTAAATATTGCAATATTTTTTTTTAAATTGGGAACCGATGTGTGGGTGGAGCTAAATTGATTTTTTTTTAAATTTATACAGGATGTTTAAATTTACACAGGGTGTTTAAATTTATACAGGATGTTTCCAATATCTTTGAATATTGACCTGATACCACCAAAAATTAAGTTTACGTGTCCTAGCGTTTAGCTGTGATATTTTCACCTCCCTACAGTGTTATAATTAGAGATGGGATTTTAGTGTTATTACCTATTTGTATACGCTAATGATAACTTTAGGTGCAATGGAATAAAATCCCTTTTGAAGAAAATGATTTTATTTTACCTAAATTTTCATTTTCAAGAGAAATGGACCTAATTTTTACTACCTAAACTACTGTAATTGTTCCTATTTTACCTAAATTATTATTTTTAACAGAAATGAACCAAATTTTGAAATTTCACCTTCAAAAACATGCTTTTTTGTAATATTGGGGTTGGCTTATTCAGATGACATAATTCTTATGCACCATTTTTGTTGTAGGTACAGGATTAAATGTGGATTGGTTGGGAGTGTTTGGTACTGGGAATCGCGAACAGCGACGCGAATATGATATTCCTGTGCAATGTTGCCAGATCTCATGCTCTTGCATGACATCTCATGTATTTTCACAGATTCTAGCTATGTGCTTTTTATGAGAAAGTATTTTTTACAACATTTCTATCATAATGAATGTTAATTTGTATTTTCAGCAATTGTATGCTTAGAACAAAAACATTTAAAATGTGCCGCCGCATTAAACAGAAAGATATGGATGATTCTACAAAAGTTAGACAGGAGTAGGTATTTTAATATTTTTTGTAAATATTTTAGTTTATTACAAAAGATCCAGGTTTTTTAACTTGTCCACCCAATTTTAATGTATTTTTTCAAAAGCACGTTTGTAGAAAAACATAATAAATATTCAAACCATCAGTGGCGTGTCACAACTCTTGAATCAAATATTTGAGTGATTTTATTTTAAAATATATTCAATTTATCCTAAATTTTTCAATTTCACTACAAACTATAAAACATTAAATAATGTATTTTTCATATTTTATCATATATTCGAATAATAGCAATTTTTAAAAAATTGATAATCTTTGTACTCACTTTTACCCGTCAGTTCTGTACATAACTGACACGTGTCCAATGTTAAAATTCAAAATTCCTGCGAAATATTAAAGTTTAAACGTCAAGTCCTCGTTTTAACTTAAGTGTTGGTAAAAAATTACCTACAGAGCCCGCCCTTTGCACGACAGTCATCTTGAAAACAATGCAAGCGGCGAAGTTGTGGTGAATGCACGTATAGTTCCAGTCAAAATTTCAGTACTGTGGTGAGTAGTTATTTTTTTACGTATATATATTTCATTGTAATTTATATTAGGCTATATGTGATTTGTTGATAACTAGCATCCATTACTAAAAAATATCAGTAAAATACTTAATTCCGAATTATAATCTCAAATTTGTATCAGTACCGTGTCGTCAGTTCCATGTTCGATGTTTCGGTTATCTTTTTTTCGCAAACTTCAATTTAAATTCTGCTTGCGCAGAACTGGTTTATTTAATGTCATTATAAACTCATATAAATTTGGTGTGGGTCCCATATCTAATAATTAAGATATCGGTATACCCAAAATCCACCAGCAGCCACTGATATGTGGTATTATTTGATTTTAAGAAATTTAATGTATAATATGCTCAAAGTTGCAATAAATCTTATAGGTATTTTCCAAATAAATTATATATTTAATTAGTACCCTGATATACTTGTCACTTCCCTTGCATTCAAATTTAAAAAACACAGATATTTCAGAAACTGTTTGAAAAAGTGACTGGCCCAGTCTGGAACAGTATATTTATTATATTATGTTCTCATAACAAAATACTGTTTAATTTTCTCCGAAAACTATATAAACAAAATGAGGTCAAAAGTTGCCTTTTGTAGAATCGCCCATATATTTGTCAGTTATTTTCAAATTTTTCAAATCATAAAAATCTTGTTAAATACAATTTTATAGAATAATAAATTAAATTATTTTACCACCTAAAAAGTTGCTTTCCAGGACTTATTTTCGTAAGTAACGTAGGTACCTAATTTAAGAATTTTCTTACCTAAAATAGGAAAAAGCATATTTAGGTACCTATTTTTATAAATTTGACAACCCAAAATCCCATCTCTAGTTATAATATAGCAGTATACAGTGTGTCCCTGGATCGGATTGCAAATAGGAAAAACTTTTTGTTTGACCTGATACAGCTAAACCAAGCACGGATTTGGAATCTACGACCAAAAATTATGTTTACGTGTCCGAGCTGTGAAATTTCAAGAGTTGAAAATGTACCTACTGTCGCAGTATAATCAGTTCATTCTATTAAATTTTGGGCATTACTTTTAATGAACATTTAAAACTTAAACGACAGATCGTCATCGACAAGTTTATTCAAAAATATAATAAGACATAAGACATTCATAAAATTATTAAACATTATTAAATCCAATACGATCCACATATAAATCTAGTTCCTTTTATTATATTTTGTTTTGTCCCAAAAAGGTTTTAATATTATATATTTCAAAGTTTATTGGTTTTGTTGTGGTCCACAACAAAACCAATAAACTTTGAAATAGCGTACTTTAGGTCCACAACTTGTGGACCTAAAGTACGCTATTTTGACTTTTTAAGTTATCCTAATGAGTACTTTAGGTTGACTTAAAAATTTTTTTTGGTTTTAAATAGCCGATGCCAGGATCTTTAATAAGATGCCCTTTTTTAAGGTTATTAATGCTGCGACGATCTCTTCGGAAGGTTTTTAAGTGTAAATCGTTTTTATAAAGAAATTTATTTTGTTTTAAAGCGTTTTAAAAGGCCATAATTAAACTAAAAATTGTTTTCTTAAAATAATAATTTTAATTTGTATTTTTTACTGTTTTCAGGCCGGATTAAGGTAATTTGTCGCCTATGGTATTAATATAACACAATACATGTTAGCCGACAGGGGTGCACATAAGGGGGCCAACTAGGGTTTAAAAAAAAACTTACAATAAAATAAATAAAAGAATAAGTTATTTTTATATAGAAAAACAAAACAATGAAGAACTAACTTAATTTTTACAATTTTTAAGTAACCTAAAACAGAATTTTACCTATAACATTTCGTCGTTGATACTACAAAAGATCTTTCTCCTGTACATTTGGTAGCAGGAAGGCATACAAAAATCCATTAAACTATATTCATATTGGGAAATGTTGAAGTAATGTTTTCTCCTTAATTAGTTTTGACCGTATGACTAACTTGGAGTCTTTGTCATTAAAAACAATGTTTTTTATAAAATATTTATTTATAATAATTTAATAATTTTAATACTCCGCCTTCTTAAAAAAACTGAGCCTTCTGCCTGGGCGCCTATTAACTACGCGGCGCCCTAGGCCATGGCCTAGGTTGGCCCATAGGTTAATTCAGCACTGACTGTTTTATTCCATTAATTTACGTTTCTTTTATAAATTACTACTTAACAAGCGCTTCTAAATGTTGTTTAATAACAAAGAGCATAAATTATATGTGTCAAATCAGTGTTAAAAAATAAGTATTTTCAAAGAAAACATCTTTCCCTGAATCGCGGTTTCGCAAAACCGCAAGACAAAAATCTCGAAACCTTGTTCGCTGGCGCTTGGCAGATCTAGACAACACAAACGATGCAGTCGTCCCGACGCGCTTTAGCAAGCCGACGCTAGTCCCGCTAGTCGACGGCGCACGTGTAAAGTTGCAACAATTATGTGAAACTCGCAAAATAAACAATCCGTAGAAATGTCGAACGATAAAGAATCAAGCAACCCGATGGAGAGCCCCAAAGTGCAAACGCCCCCCAAAGAGGGGAAAAAAGTGGGCTTCGCGAGGCCCACTCTCATCATCCCTCCGCCCCAAGTGCTGGTAAACAACCCGCAAACAAGAAGTGCGAACTTGAGCACTCGGTCCGTACCCAAAGGGAACATGTACGGCCGAAAGGCCTCTGTGTTTATGTTCGATCAATTTAATAGTGTTATGAACACTGCAAAATCGGGCATGGGACTCGGTGAAAAGTGCGCCTATTGGGTTTATAACAAATTTTATACGTGGAGCAGAAAATGGTTCACCCATTGTTTTTTGTCTATTGTGATTTTATTGTACACTGTTGGTGGTGCCCTTATGTTTGTTGCTATTGAAGGTAAGATCATCAGCTGCTCAAACATTTTTTAATGACAAAAATTACGTTTCATATTTTATTTTACGACCAGAAATCAGTTCCGAATCATAAATTACGTAGTAAAGTTAGGTTTATAACATAATGTATTTATCCATTGTATAAAAATGTTTATTGACACTAATAATATCCCATTGCTCGTTTTATAAGATTCTAATGAAACAGTTACTATAAAAACAATTAGAAAAGGGAGCTAAAATTGACAAGGTTGATATATATTTTTTTTCCAATGGTGTTGAAAAATTAATAGTACATTAAAAAACAAAAATGTTTGCGCATATTTGAGCCCTTAATATTAATATTAAGGTTTGCCTCAATTCATTTGTTGTTTTTCCATTTCAATAACACGGGAATTTTTATTTTTTTAATTTTGAATTCTTATAACTTTGGAATGGTTTGTTTTTGCAACACCCAAGCGAGACGAGTTATAGACAATTTCACGCTCTACAAAAAACATCTGAAGGTCAAAGTTCTTCAGATCAACCGTTTCAAAGGTATCAGCGATCAAAAATAACACTAATAAAAAATTTGAATTATTTTAAAATAAAATACAAAAATATATCATATGTCATATTAATATTATTTTTTATGTAAAATCACTTTAATTCTGAGACTGTAAACTTTTTTTAAGGTTAACAGAATTAAAGTGATTTTACATAAAAAATAATATAATTATGGCATATATGATATTTTTTGTATTTTATTTGAAAATATTTGAATTTTTTTATTAGTGTTATTTTTGATCGCTGATATCTTTGAAACGGTTCATCTGAAGAACTTTGACCTTCAGATGTTTTTTGTCGAGCGTGAAATTGTCTATAACTCCTCTCGCTTGGGTGTTGCGAAAAGAAACCATTCCAAGGAACTTTATAAGAATTCAAAATTAAAAAAATAAAAATTCCCGTGTGATTGAAATGGAAAAACAACAAATGAATTGAGGCTAACCTTAACATTAATATTAAGGGCTCAAATAGGCGCCAACATTTTTGTTTTTTAATGTACTATTAATTTTTCAACACCATTGAAAAAAAAAATTGTTTTTTTTTAAACGCCCTATTATAATATAATATAGGTATATATATTAAATTAAATTATATTATATTATATTATATTATATTATATTATATTATATTATATTATATTATATTATATTATATTATATTATATTATATTATATTATATTATATTATATTATATTATATTATATTATATTATATTATATCAAAATCAATTGTTCACAATGATCGTCCTAGGACCCTGGCTTACCTAAAAAATAACATTCGTCAAGCATTAGTCAAGCTGTCGCCAATATACCCATTAATATGCTAGAAAAAGTTAAACGGGTTTGATATCATTTTTAAAACTACCTATGTAAACATAAAATTTAAATGTTATTCTTAATGCTGTTCAAAGAATTAAATTTAGCTTGTTGCTCTGGATATCAAACTAACATGTTATCAATTTTTTTGGAAGATAGGTAATATACACAAAGATATCCACCTCCCTAAACGAAACCACAGATCCGTTCCCCCCCATGGAAGACCTAAAAAAATTATTATGGGCATTCTACATTGCTAGCCAATTCAATTATTCCTCGAAAATCATTAATTAAAAAGAATGTTGTAGGAAGCTTAGGTCTTGTTTTCTTGAAATCAAGGGGTGATGCTTTTAGAATACGGATTCTTTAGCCCCCTCCCCTGCTAAAAATTCTGGCTACGCCCATGGATCCGTGCCTGATCCAACGATGTATAAAACTATGTTAGTTATGGAGGCCATTATAAAAATAAAATATGGTTATTGTAACTACCTATCTTTTTTTCGCAAACTTCTATTTAAATTCTGCCTGAGTTAATTTAGAGTCATTATAAACTATATATACAGTCATTGATACTTGATCTTCTTCTAAAAAAATTGCTCTTCCTTGTCCTCCACGTTTCTTTGGAACAGCTTCTCTGGTATCTAGCCATCGATAAGCTGTGGATTTTTTATACCGTAAATTTGTCGATAAACTATTAATTGCACCACTAAAATTTGTATTATCAGATTCTCCCAGCAGCCTGGCCCCCCTAATAAAGATTCTTTATTAGGTGGCTAGGCTGCTGGGTAGCCGTATCTTTTTTTCGCAAACTTCTATTTAAATTCTGCTTACGTACAACTTGCTTTTTTTTAGAGTCATCATGAACTTATATTAATTTGGAGTGGGTCCCATGTCTAATAACTAAGATATCGGTATACGCAAAATTTACCAGCCGCCACTGTAACTACGTGTACCTACCTAATACTCAAAATATGGTAGTGATTAAAATGTAGAATAATATGTAATACTTACTTTTTTCCAAAATTCCCATGAATAATAAACGATTTTTGGTTTTGAAAGGTTTTTAGTTTTTTCCAAATATTTTAAAAACCGCTGGCTTTTTTCCAATTTATAAATTTTATTTTAATAGACTTGTAATTACGCAACTTTTCCCTGTATAACAACAAGTAGACATCCATTATATCAGAAAAGTTAAAACGTTAAATGTTATTAACATTTAACATTTTAACTTTTCTGATATAATGGATGTCTACTTAATTTAATAACATTAACATTATGTTAATGTTATTAAATTGAATTTGATAATTATATAAATTAAAATCAAAGTTAATTTGCAATGGTTACATTTAAATAGGTTTACTAAACTAATTTAATAGTATTTCTCCAATATGAACTGTTGAATAACATATTTATAACAAATACTAGGTAATAGAACTGGGTTCATTTAATTGGGCGAAATTCAATATGTTAATTTTCAGTATACAACGTATTAATGCGTTATAAATATTTGATTACCTACTACCTACTAAAAGAAGTCTGATATAAGTAGTTTGCAAAAGTGTTATTGTTTATTTTTGTTTTGTTGGTTTGCCTTTCACGAAGCAACGGATTGACGTGATTTTTTTTTTACATTGAGAATGTTAATAAGTAATAGGGATAACTTGTTGCTTCAAAATTTAAAAGTTTATATGCAGGACAAAATATAAAAGTTGTGTCATTATTTAGTTCCATATAGGTATACATATTAAGTTTAATAATATCTTTTGGTTTTATTTACCTAAGTATACACTGTTATAAAAATAAGATTTGTTAACATGAGTTTGTAGTTTATTAATTTGATTTTGTAAAATTTTTACAAAATTTTTTGTAAACAAGCTGGGTTTGTAATTAATTTAACAAAGGAAAATATTTTACCGAATGTTTTGTAAAGGTAAAATGCAAGTTTGTAAGCATTTTGTTTATTTCAAAGGTTAAAGATTATTTTGTTAATGTTATTCCGTTGAAAAAGTACACGTGATTTCAGGCAGCCAATCAAAACATTTCCAAGCACAACACGTTGTGTCAGCGTCAACGGGTGTTTATAACATTTAACGGTGACAGGAGTGTTTATAATGTCATTATTGGTTTTCAAATTAAAATTAGGCGATATAGGTGAAGTTAAAGTAAATCAGTAAGTGTTTTGGATACTATAGTACTGATAGTTATATTTTACCAAATTTCTATATAATCAGAATGGTGTGTTATTTAATTTTGTGTATGTTATTTTTGTGTTCATTGTAGGTATGTGTTAATTATGTTTTATTTAGAAAATTGTTTAATAAAGCAACATTTCTTATAACAAATTCTCTTTTTTAATGTTCCTAATTTACAACAAATACTTTTGATACTGGGTCTTTATGTATACATAAAAGTTTGTAAAAAATACAAGAATTATGGTTGAAATTTGACATGGAACAGATTACAGTTGGTTGTAAACTTAATAAAAAGTTATGTGGACCTAGATTAACATAAAATCTGGTTATTATTTGGTTAAAATTAACAAATATTTTTTTACTGTGTAATATGGTAGCTTGGAAGTTCAATTTAATGTATTGGTCATTGACCAATTTTGTATCTCTTTTCTTAAACAGAAAATTCTAGGGATTGTAGATCGTTCTATTCAAAAATGCTTACTAAGGGAGTAAGTGCTCTTGAAAATGTCTATTTGACATTTTTTAAATATTATTTAAATTGCCGTACTGCATCATGATGAAGAAAGTGTATACCTACATTAAGTCGACCCATGAAATTAAACGAAACGCGTTTGTAGAGTTCGAACGCTGTACCGCAACGTCATCGCTCGGCAACGGAGGCTATTGACGTTTTGGTATAAAACCGCGCTATGGAATTGAATTTCTTAATTAATGAGTTATAATTAACAATTATGTCGTGAGGAAATCAAAAAGTATACTGTAAACGTTTTTGCTCGTTCGAAAGTGTGAATAAAATACGCGTTTTAAACGAACTAAACTATGAATGAAAACAATAAGAAACTATGAAACTAACTAATCACCTAATTACTAATTATTTATGTATTACTATTGTCTATTTATTTCCACCTATATCTCATTTCGCGAGTACCAAATCTTTACTAACTTCACGAATGCTTCTAATAATTATTATGTTCTTCGGTTTCCTCTATTATAATAGAGGAAACCAAAGAACATTTCCCCATAACGATTCCTTTCTTCAGACACGTATAAAAGTCTTCCCTACTACAATTCCTCGATCGACCTCGTAGTCGTAATTTCTCGTCTCAAGTATCATTATCAGTGGCGTAGCTAGCCTCGAGGGGGTCCCGTATCAAAAATCTGGTAGGGGCCCTTATACGGGAAAAGCTGCTGGAAAAAAAAATTCTGGGTGTCACGCCCAAAGTCTATTTTGGGTAAACAAAAAAAAATTTTTAGGGTATTATTTTTTTTTCATTTACCAATTTTTTATAATTTAATAAATAATATATGTAATACATATTATGTATACATAGCTTTTTATGTACAGGCATATTTTAAAATTTGGTCTGGTTTTAGAAATTTACTGTTCTTCAACATCTTTTAAAAGTTTTCTATTTTAAAATAAAGGCAAGTCATTTGAAATACTTGTAAAGTTA